CCCCAAAACCCCAAAACCCCAAAACCCCTAATCAGGCAGGCATCCCAGTCTAATATGATAATTAGCTAAAAACCCTTTCGTTTCTGAATGAAATGAGGCAAGTAGAATTTTGGGATAATGACTGAGCAATTTTAGTAGCAGAATTCTTGACTAGGTTGAGGCTTGGGCAGGGGGGTTGGCGGCTTGGTCTGCTGGTGGTGGTGCAGTCGAATTATCTGCCTGTGCTGGAGGGTTTGTATCTGTTGGAGCATTAGCATCTGTTGGAGGGGTTCCTTGTGAAGAAGCTTGGGTAATTTGAGTTTTCAGATCTATACTTCATTGCATAAGAAATTACCTTCAATTTCCTTCTCTAATCTCTCAATGCTTGCTTTATGCTCATTTACTGTAGCATTATTCTGCTCAATAACTGTATTTTTCTGATTTATTTCTCCTTCATATTCAGTTATTTTGTCTTGTTTCTCTTTAATGACATTTTCAAGATTTTGCTTAATCTCATTCACTTCTTTGTTTAGAGTCTCGATCTCATCTTGTTTTTCCTGAATAGCAACTTCCTTTTCTTGAGTTATTTTATTCTTGTTTTCGATTTCTTCAGAGAGTAGTTTCTGAGAAGCTTCAAATTCTTCGGTTTTCTAAAATTAGATCTAAAGCTTACTTTTAAAAGTTGCTCTTTAAGCTGGGCTATCTCTTGAGTCATTTGTTCTACAATAGATACCCTCCCACCTACCTTGCTTCCCCTTCATATCCTCTATCAACACATCCTTCTCCACAAATGCCTTATCAATCCTATCTAAAATCTCTTAAAACCCCCTAAAATACCTCTAAAGAGCTTCTCCTTCCTATTATTATCACACAGGATCTTCAAATTCAGAATCTTTGTTTCCTTTATGATTATGTCTAGGTTTTAGATACAGTCTTACCTTTGTAGAGACTAGTACAGCAATCGTTTATGAGGTGATTGATCATATGATGAGCAAATTCACCAAAAGCTTCACTTTTCTTAAGATTTGAGTAGAATCTGTAATTAAAAAAGGAATTTACTCAATGCATTCTTTTAACCACTTATCGTAATTTAGATAATTATCATAAAAAATATCCAATTGAACATTTTGCTGGAGCTCTAGCCATTTTTCATGCTCTTCCTCGATAATGGTAAAGTATCTGTCGATTTCAGACATATCATAATGCTTGCGATTTGTGAAGAAGATATTAAAAGTTGTATCGATACTCTTCTGTACCTGGTCGATCTCTTCGACATTAACTAACTTTTTAGTTTCCTCATTGAGTTTGCATTCTTGATGCTATGCCAAATTCTAGTTAAAATCTTACGAAGTTGATGACTCACTGAGAGCACAGAGTCATTGAGACACATGGGCAATAATATTCTCTAAGTTTTATTTTACATTTTTGACAGTATTTGCTGAATGTTATATCATTTTATCTTGAACTTACGTGCTATATTTAAAAGATTAGCTGGAACCATCAGATGTTTCCTTAAATACTAAAATTCCAATTTTAGAGTCTAAATAAATCTAAATCTATAGAAAAAGCACCAAACGATGTTGAGTGCTTTAGCACTAACTCCACATCATGAGGGAGTAGCCTAGCCACTTACTGCTCTAATTGGTTGATTGAATAGCTCATATCTATTTTATTTTACATAATCTTACCTCCATTAAATTTACGGGGTTTTGGGGTTTTGGGGTTTTGGGGTTGGGG